TTATACGTAGGAAGTGGTCTCCTGTGCCCACGTGTTGTAGAGTACTTCCCACTTTCTCTTCCATCAGGTTCAGTGTGTTCGGACTGATATTGAGGTCTTTAATCCACTTGGACTTGAGTTTTGTGCATGGTGATAGATATGGATCTATTTTCATTCTTCCACAGATTGACATCCAGTTTTGCCAGCACAATTTGTTGAAGATGCTCTCTTTTTTCCATTGTATACTTTTAGCTCCTTTATCGACCCTGCCCCTTTCTTTAAATCTGAGTTTAAATACTGACATGATTTCAGACCTACAGGTTTTATGTCATTTTGAGGAGCCTATATAAGACCTACGCCCATAGTATAGATAACTTAACGTTATTTGCTGGATTAGAAGGAAGCCTTGAAAAGTAATTGCACCGGAGGTGTAACTCAGTGGTATAACGTCTGCCTAGCCTTAAGAAGGTCTTAGGTCCCATTCCCCACACTGATTTAAGACTACCACTATTTTGATTGACACCTACTAGCAGCTGTACACTCAGATTATATTAATAAATGCAACTAAGGAGGTTGATTCATTCGACTGTCTAGAGGTAGAGATGGGGGGACCACAGACTGCAGAGACCGAGCCTGTGCAAGAGCAGTTTCTGTACCCAGCACCTACGTGGTGACTCACAACCACCCGTAACTCCAGTTCTATGGGATCTGACTCCTTCTTCTAGCCTCCATGGGTATTGCATGCACATGGGCACGCAAGCCGCTCATACATATCAAATAGAAATAAATTAAGTCTTAAAAAAGAAAATGCATCCAACAGACCACCTGGCATATGCCGGGGATTCTGAAGTGGCAAACTAAGCTTGAGGATTTCATTTTGCTTACCATTTTAATTAATTGTTGATGTTTTACTAATTCGTTTTTGACAATTTCATATGTGTATTATTTATTCTTCTTTATATTTTTGACGCTGGGTCTCCCTATGTAGTTCTGGTTGGTCTGTAGACTTGCTATGTAGACCAGGCTGACCTTGAACTCACAGAGATCCACTTTTCTGTGTCTTTCGCGCTAGGTGGGGGGTGGATAATACAGGTGTGTGCCACTATACCCAGCAACTGATCATTTATTTTTTGAGACAAGGACTCAAGTGGTCCGGGAAGGCCTTGCTTGAACTCACTACATAGCTGAGGATGACCTTAGCATATCAGGGTTTATGAAGCGCTGGGATGGAACCCAGGACCGCCTACACACTACACACAAACTCGTTGCCAACTAAGCCATATGTCCAGCCCCCACCCTGACCTTTAAAACATAGACGGTGTAGGCCTGTGCTCTATACTCCATGGAGACCAGAGAGCCAAGTAAGCAGACAAACACTGCGTAGACTTGACTGGCGTAAACCGGAGTCCAAGATCCTGGCATGGTATCTACAGTAAAGAGGGAGACCCGGGCTCTATACAGGTAGGCACCTGGAGAAGAGGCAGCAGCCAGAGGAATTTAGCTGTACTCAGTGGTGCCCCCCTCCCCCAACGCTTACAATGGAATTGCTATGGAAACAGCATTCACGTACCAGGAATCTGTTTCTTGACTAAATTTTGTTTGAATTCTTTGGTTCTTGAGTGCTTTGTATGAAGTGAGGCTTACCCGATTTTAGAGCTTTGCCCGAAGGTCCACAGATGGGGTGGGGGTGGGGTGGGGCGGGAGGCAGAGAAGGTTCCTAGCCTTAGACCGCCAATCAAAACAAATTACAGGCTTTCTAATGTAGCAGTTTTTAAAGTTATCTCATGAATTTTCTGCCGTTAGAAAATAGGAAGGGGCCGTCCACTGCTAACACTACGCAAGTGCTCCTCACATGCTGGCTGCTGCTTCTCTCTTCGGACATCACCCACCCACCCCTTTTAAAAATTCCCACTGTTGCTATCCCACTGTCAAGCAGGATTGGCTCCCCTTCCTTCCTCTCATCGTCCCCCATCCCCCACTACTATTAATTCAAAGAGTTAAGAAATTCGTATCTTTTTATCTAGTCTTTTCTTAGGGAGTTTGGCCCAGAAGATTTCACCCCAGAAAACCATCAAGTTGCTTGGGACGCTTTGGCGGGGTTGCCTTCCAACCCATCCATGCACAGTTTCCCAGACGTAGGTTCCGTTTTCTGTTTCAGCAGTGGGGCTGGTTGTCCTTTAGAGCTGTGGGTCAGTCGCTCGGAAGGATGCTTGAGGTCACGGACGCCGCAGGGCAAAAGCATCGCGTTTTTCCCTCAAGACGTGCTCACTCAGCTACGGCAGTGGCTGCGTGTCCGCGCTAGGACCCAGCAGCTGGCGGGACGCGGCGCCCGTCTCGCCCCGCCCCCGACGCGCACTGGGTGGAGCCGTCGGCCTTGAAGCCCGCTCCCTCGAGGGAGGGCGGGGCAGCATGGGCGAGGCAAGCGGCGGTGGGCGTGACGGCGCCGGGTGGGCGGGGCTGCACGACGCCGGCAGGTCGGCCGGGCGGAAGGGCCTTGCGCGGTGCTAGCTCCCTAGCGCGTTGGGCGGGGTGTGCGGCAAGCGGCTTCCCGGGCAGGCGCGGGCCCCGAGGCGGCGGCTGCGCCGTGCGCCGGGGCGGAGCCGGGGGCGGGCGGGCCGGCGGGCGGGGGCTGGGCCGGAGGAAGCCTGAGCGCCCGCGGCGACGACGGCAGCGGCGGCCCAGCAGGCTAGAAGCGTGGGTCCACGGCGGCTCCGGGTGCGGCCGCGGGCTGCGGAGCGACCGGGTGGCCCGGCTCCCCGCGTCCCCCGCCCGCCGCTACTGTCTGGAAGATGGCGCCGGGCGGATGGAAATCCTAATGACAGTCTCCAAATTCGCCTCCATCTGTACCATGGTAGGTGCGGCGGCAGCGCGGCCCGGGCGGCGGGTCCCCGCCTTCGAGGCGCCGCCCGCGGGCCTGCTCCTGAGCGAGCGGAGGGCCGCGGGGCCGAGAGGCCGCGGGAAAGGCGAGCTGGACGCAGCAGGCGGGGCCGGGACCGACCGGGACTCGGAGCTGGGGATGGGGAACTCGGGGTCTGGGGACCGAGGATTTGGGAACTGTGGCTGGGTGCTAGGGCCTGGGGACTTAGGGACGGGGGTTGGGATAAGGGCTGAGTACTGGCTCTAGGGATTTGGGGATTAGGGGTGGGGACTGGGGATGGGGGCTGAAACCGGGGACTTTAAACTGGGGACTGGAGATGGGGACCAAGGGCTGGGTACTGGGTCGGAGGACTGCAAACTGTGGATAGGGTCGGGAACTGAGTACTGGGATCTGGTACCGGGAAGCCAGGGGACTGGGCCAGGAGACGGGACGCTGCAGCCGCTGCGTTTCCGTGGGGCCGAGCGCGGGGTAGGGCGGGGGTCTGCGGCAGGAAGGAAGGGTCTCGGTCCTGCGAGAGGACGGAAGTCCTGGCAGAGTTACTCCTCCGGCTAGGTGGAGCCCCGGGGCCCCGGCTCGGGAAGGGGGCGTGTGACGGTGGAAACTTTTAAGAGTGCTGTTGAAATGTTCTCTATTTTCTACTCGCCGGGGAAAAACGAACTCTTGCGGTTTCCAACCTGTGTCCGTCCAGATGGCAGCCTTGTCGCTGAGATTCCGCGTTCATCTTGAAAAGCTCCATTAACTTTCCTGTCATTTGTTTACTTTAATAGAGCAGACGCCGCTGTGTGGGGTTGAAGTACACAGACCCCCGAATAAAGCGAAACGTGGGTGGGGTCCAAACGTTTTTGTGCATTGCCAAAAGCACCACGGTTTCCCACATGACGTGACAAATTCAGTAGCTTCTTTCTGAACTTCTACGTAGAAGTTGCGGTTTATATATTAATCACCGAAAAAGTTATTTGTAATGTGGACCCGGAGTTACATTACCAAAGATTTGAACCATTCAGTTCCGTTTTTATGTCCTGGATTTCATCTAGGAGATCCCCAGACTTTCCACTTGAAAGTGATCTGTGTTTTTCTTTAAGGAGTGGAGAATCAGATAGGAAAAGTGGATTCTCTACTGTATTTTGTGGAAGAGTATTAAAAAATGGATGGAATCCGTGGGCTTAAAAATCCACAGCATCAAATAAATCATAGCAAGATGGACTCATTGAAGAATCCATTTTTCCCACATGGGTAATTGTTCTTTCCTGGTCTTCAGAAGGGGACTATATCAACAGTTTCTGGGATTGGTTGTACTAATTACTTTTCGACCTGCCACATGGGATGATCGAATCTTTACAGTGATAATTTTACCAGATTGCTGAGCTACAACACACCTTTTGGGGTCATAGTTCATTGTCAAAGTCTAGGGCTTCAGGAGTGGTGTGATTCCGGTAGACTGCTCATTCACTTAGTTGTGTCAGGTATACATCTAGCCCCTGCTGACTAGCACTGCGGTACAGATATGATCCTGACAGTCCCCGGTAGGACTTCATAGACATGCTTCTACGTCCAGGACTCTGGATGCAGAAAGATCACAGGTTCCAGGCAGGTGGAGTTATACACAGTGAGACCCTGTCTCGAAAGAAAACACAACACAAGACAGCCCCTAGTTTCATGGTGTTTACATTCTATTTGAGGGAGACAATTCTCATTTATATAATAATACAGTGTAGCTGGGCAGTGGTGGCGCACACCTTTAATCCCAGCACTGGGGAGGCAGAGGCAGGTGATGAGTTCAAGGCCAGCCTGGTCTACAGAGGGAGTTCCAGGACAGCCAAAGAAATCTTGTCTTGAAAAAAACCCAATAAATAAGTAAATAACTAAAAATAGTGTAATCAAATAAGAGCAACAAAGAACAGACCTGCCAGGGTTCTGTAGTGAGTGAGACATCGATGTCAAGGATGTCCACTTCAAGCTCACTCAGGGCTGCTGCCCAGGGGCACTAATTGCACGTGGTGTGTGTATGTGTTTCGGCAAATATATAGACATCCCTTTCTAGCCTGAGTGAGTTTGTTCCAAAGGTGCTATTAAGATAGGGTGTGTCTTGTTCGTACTTGAACCAATTCTACTTCTCTTCCTGAGAGTAGGTCCTGGGTGTGTCAGAGTGATTTGCACTCTTGAGTGTGTGGGGGGCGTTGCTGTCCATCTTCTGACAATTATGAAAGTGAAAAATCAGGAATGGCAAAGGCCCTGTAGGTTCTGTTTTGCTTGGAATGAGAATTGTCTGTCAATCCATCGAGTATGTTAACTGTCTCTTACGGAGTTTGTCTGACCTGAGCAACACTCTGCCCAATTACTTCATACAGTTGCACAGCGTTTTTGTGATCTCGGAAGTACTGTGCTTTATATGTCCCCCACCCCCCAATCTTTTATTAGATTATGAATTTGTTTTTTTATTTTTTTTCCTTCCTTTGCTGGTGTTTTGAAACAGGGTCTTCCATAGGTCATACTGTGTTTGAATTTGATGCTTAGTGATATCTGGCCTTGATCTCCCGATTGTCCTTCCTCTACATCCCTGCCCCTGGGATTTCAGGTGTACACCACCACACCAGGTTTAGACTGTGAGGGCTTGAAAGTTAAGACCTTACCTGCCATTTTGATCAGGAGCATTAGCTTCTGCATATAATGGAAAGCATCCTTCATTTAGTCACAGGAAGAGTTTGAAATAGAGGTCAAGCTGGGTGAGGAACAGTGGAGAGAAGGGGCCTGGATTTAGGACTGGATGCTGCAGAGAGTCAGCAACTGCGAAAACATTTAGAGAAACACTTAGGGTGAATTGAAATTTTATTCTGTAAATATGGAAGTTTACATAATTTATTCACTTGTCAAAATAAGGTGCAGAATAAAACTGCAGTAGCTTAATTGGGTGAAGTAAATTAAAAATAAGTCTCTTCAGCTATGTCACAGTTTAGATCCCTGCATTTCTGCCTTCATGTGCAAATGGGTTTCTCTTGGTGCTGTAGCCTGGCTCAGAGAGTGTCTTTAGACACACTGAAGGTGCTCTGGAGAGACCCGCTTATCTGTCCACTGTTAGTGCTCCTGCAGGTGCATGTGGTGCTCTTAATGCAATTTCTGTTTTCACTGCCTGGTGCAGCTCACGAGATGGCTTTAGTTCTATACTTACTAATTCTCAAACAATAGGGAAAGTGGCTGGACTTACGCAGAGGGGCTCTGGGTGGAAGTCAGCAGCATCTTGTGGCTAATCCTGGTGTTTGGGCATGTCTGCTGGAGACTTGTGTTGCCCACCGGGAGTTGATAGAGAGTACACTGCCTCTGGCCACAGTCTGGTTGTGAGTCCCAGTTGGGAAAGACTGGGGAGGGGAATTGGTTATAGCAGAAGTGAGGAGGTGAATGGTTTCTCATGAGATGGCACTGGTTTGGCTGCTTGCCTAGCTCAGTCACCAGGGAGGTGTGTGTGTGTGCGTGTGTCCGTGTGTGTGTCTCTGTGTTTCTGTATGTTAGACCTTTAGAACATGGTGTGAAGGAAGTCAAAGCCACAAGGTAGGTGCTAGGTCAGTCTGTTAGGTTGTGCTTCTGAAAATACCCGTGCCTAGAACTGAATTCTGAAGTGAAAACTTTAAGCCCCTTCCTGACGCAGTCTCACGTAAAGCTGACTAATTTGCTGCCTTTGGACTGCCAGGTAAGTGTGTGAGTATGTGGGCTTGCAGCTTACCACCCTTTCAGAAAAGGAGGAGGCATGGAGCTCAAAGCCTATGGTTTTTTTTTTTTTTTTTAAAGGAATGTAGAGAGAGAAAGGGTTCCTTGCTTTGCCTTCCCATCCTCTGCTTTCCCTCTCCGTCTCCCCTCCCTTTTGTGTTTGGAGACAGATTTTCATATGGCTCAGACTAACCTCTTGTTTGCTACACAGCAGAGGGTAACCTTGAACTCTGTTTTTCTGCCTCCCCACCCCCATTGCTGAGATTATAGGGGTGCACCGCCATTCTCGGCTTTAATTCCTGCTTGAGGTCAGCAGGATTGATGCTTTGATTTTATAAGTATGGTGAGAAGTGGATCACATAAACATGTAGTGTGAAATGGCAGAAGTATGTTTAGGGCCATGTAAGAAACTCTTAGATGCTCTACCCTGATCCCAAGTCAAAATTCATTTTAATGGTGTGTCTGTGTGTGTCTTGGCATGTGGAGCAGAGGATAGAACTTGGGTGCTACATCTACTTGTTTTTGAGAGTGTGTCTTCATTAGCTGGGTGCTTTCTAGTGAAGTAGGTGTTTGATTTTGGAATTAATTTTGGGTGATTGTTTATTCATAAACCCTTGACTCTTGCCCAGTTTGTCACAGCTGTCCCAGATTCAGTTGTAAGACGTAGCCTGGAGACCCAGGTGAAGAAGCCGAGCCTGCTGCCCCTTGTTGTAGTCTCAGTAAACTGGTTTTCTGCCCTCTTCCCCAAGCCAGGCTCTAGGTAGCAGTTCAGGTTGTCCCATCAGTGGCCGTCATGTTGGTTTCAGAATTCGCTCAATAAGCATGGAGAGTTAAATGCTCTAATATAATAATTCGGCGAGGTCTACTGAGCTATGGGGGCAGATAATTAGGTGGCAGATAACTATGTGTTTATGATAGAGCCGTGGTTCTCAGCCTTCCTAAGGCTTTGACCCTTTAATACAGTTCCTCGTGTGGTGACCCCAACCATAAAATTATCTCGTTGCTACTTCATAACTGTAATTTTGCTGCTGTTATGAATCCTAATGTAAATATCTGATAGTCAGCCCTGTGTGGTCACCACTCAGGTTGAGAAGTGCTGTATTAGAGGGTAAAGTGATAGTTACTAGACATGAAGTTGAGTATAGATACCAGCTTTTGTTAATCTTGCACACTTACGTAGATAGGGAGGTTCCATGTGAACCTGCAGTACAACAGTGCAGTGTGGGGTACATAAGGTGGCCCGGCCACACACCCTGTGACTTTCTGGTGGGCTC